TCATATTTAGCTTGACCAGCAGACGGACCAATCTCGACGATTCCAACTCTTTTCCGAGGTTCACTGTAAGCGTATCCTGGGCATGTAGCTCGCTGTCGAAGACCGATGCAAATTGGTCGGCAATGCCTCCCAGGAAGGTGTCAATGTCTTTCTGCATCGGCGCCGGTGTTGTAGGAGACGATGGTGCTCCTGGTGCTGGTTGAGGGTTGAGCAGCCATTGCACGCACTCCTTGAGACGAGCTGTATAACTTCTAGTGATATAGTCCATCGACTTTTGCATCTGCAAGTGGGCTGTGGCGTTGTTGTTCGCGATGCAAAGTATTAGTCGTCCTAGCTGAACGAGGTCGTCTGCTTGCAGTTCAGGCACGGGACGCGCATTGTCAAACTGGACTATGTCCATGATACTGCATGCGTTGAGTCGTATCCGGTTCTTTGACGTCAACAGTATTTTCGAAGGTGTGATGAGGCGCGCTGCGAGACCCGAACCGTGTATGGCCTTTAGAGCCGATGCAATTTGAACAATGTAGCCCCATAACACTTGCTCCGGTACGTGCGATGATGCAGGTTGCCTCCCGTGGAAACGCTGCACCGGCTTGAAATGCTCATCAGCAAGTGACTTCGAATTTGGATGGTAGTCCGTGACTAAGATTAGAGAACTATCGCCAAAAGCTCGAGTAGTGAACGCTTCGTGGATTGTAACCACATTGCCGTTCAAAACGCGTTTCCATGGCTGGGCGGAGCGAATCGCAGTCTCGCTTGTAAGGCGGAAGTTTTCCAGACGGCGTAGCGCATACGTCTTGCCATCTTTGCTTGACACAGCTTTGTAGATCCAGCTGGCGTACCCAAATGGAGCCGTGTTCTTCTGGGGTGACATGTCTAAACAAAACAAGGAGTGAAACTGCTCAATGACCGGCAAAGTACTATTCGGCGCGACCTGACGTGCAATATCTGCCTTCTTTTGCAACTCTTCCCGAAGAGCGTCAGGTATGAAGAAATCATGTGCAGTACGCTGGTAAGCAAGCAGACCCGTCGGCTGAGGCCCTACCGGCCAGTAAAGATGGTATGCTGGAGTTTGAAACGCGTTGGCGTTCTGGAAATACGTCGTCGAGGCATCTTGTGCATACGGGTTGATGGTAGCAGCTTGGTGGGTTGCACCTGCCAGGGTAGAGATGCTGGACGGTGTGCTGAAAGGATCGTAGCCCACATTAGGGTCCACCTAGGGCGTTGTGAGTCGAGAACTGGATGTAAGAAGGTGCTCCAAAATCACGAATTGAAGGCAGATATATCAAGTAAAGCCACGCACCATCTGCTGACCCTCAAAAGACTGCGGGACAAAATCTTGGAAGTCATGTGAATTCCAATCAATGGCGGGTTCTTTCACGTGCATATGCGGGGTGGTGACGGCTGAGACGATCAGCATGCATATAGAAGTCATTTGCGAATGCTCAGGACTCACCGGAGCGTTGCGATTTGGGAGTGAAGACGGCAGCATTGGCCGCCTTGGGCGAGATAGCGGCACTGCGAGAAGACGGGGTCACAGATCCATTGGTGCTCGCCTGCAGAGGCGTGAAGGAGGGAGAGTCGACATTGAACCTCTTTTTGGCGTTCTCATTCTGGCCCAACTTGAGGGTGTCGTGGATGTAGGGGCAGGCTAGACAGGGTCACCACGAAACTCGGCAGGTGCGGCCAGCAGCACTTACTGTTTTCGTACCGGCAGTGTCCGTAGATGGTGACATTGCGGCAGAGGGTGTTCTTCGCTTCTGCATAGGCCAGTCAGACTCGACATGTAGTGTATAGGTGTGGCTGCGTCATACCGCGTCCCTTAGGGCGAGGAGAGACGACTCCCCGTCGCGAATCACCCGAAGGACCGCCAAAGGTTGTTGCCATGAATCGCGGCTGGCTCGTCGAGGCGGTGTTGGTAGCAATAGAGGGGTGCTGGCGCGTCTTGGACGCAGTCGGGGGTGAGCGAGCAGCGCTCTGCGCGGGCTCTACGGGCTGAGAGGTGGGGGGTTTGCGGTCGGAGCCGGTATCATCTGACGAGCCACCTCCCCTACTCCATCGGCTCGTGGACTTGTTCGAGTGTTTCCGCCTGGTGGTGCGCGCCTGTTTCTGGGGCGTGGTAGGGGCGTTGCGCCCGGGGGGATTGGGAAGCGAGTCCCGTGACGACGACGACGTCAACTCGGAGAAAGATTCGGTAGTCGAGGAGCCAGAGCTGGCAATGGCAGTCGCATGTGGGTGGCCCCTGGCTACAGAAAAGAAGGCAGGGCGAGGGGGCGTCGTGGAAGCGTGCGGCGCGCCTTTGTTCGGCGGCGATGCAGGCTGAATGGTGGGCAACCTGTGGCCGGCGTGGTGAGAAGTTCCTGCGAGCACATTAGAGAGCGAGCCCATCAGCGGCGACACGTCGTGGGCAGGAAGAGACGGCGCCTGGGGGTGTCCAGGGCCGCCGTCAGACATGGCGGGCAGCATGTTTCGCGATAGCCGACGAGAGTGGCATGCTGGGGCGGGACAATTGGATGGGTACCTTTCGGAATTGCGGGCTATGAGCCACCCCCAGCGAGTCCAGCGTCCTGTAGGAGCAGCAGCCGCGTCTCCATTAGCAGGCACAGTCCAAATGGCGAGGCAGACTAGACGAGCAGGCGCGCTGGGTGAGTGAGGTGTGATAGCTGCGGGCTACACCTATCAGCGAACAGCCGCCTTCCCTGCTGTTTGGCGTGTTTGCAGTTGGCGGCTTAGTCATCCGCTCAGTCATCCAACTTCCCCCTCGACATGCTTCACACATCACCACCTAGGTACGACATCACCTGAGCTGAACATCAAGCACCGAACACGAGGCCTTGATTGCATTGAAATTCGTCTCTTCACGAATATCGAACGTCACTATAGCTTCATGTCCCTCGCCTTTCTCTGATACTGTCTGTCGTTCACGTCTTTGACTCCTCACTCAAACGCCCTCCGTGTCTCTTTCACAACTTCCATCTCCGCCGTTTGCGATGCTTCCCTCTACTGTGACCGGCGTCGGTGAAGGGAGTTTCGGAGCATGCGAATCACCCGAGCACCCATGGCGTTCGCACTGGTCTGCACGCTGCGGTCGTGAATGGCCTGACGAGGGAACTGTCTGGATGCCTCTGCTTGCGCTTGGGGTCCAGAGATCAGCGGTTGCAGCTCGCTGGAGATGCCCTCATGGGTTTCACCTCGCCGACTCATCTGTTCCGGGTGAAGATCTGGCTCTCTGTTCTGGGGCGGTCGCACAAGTTCGTCCATGCCCGGTGCACGAGGCAGTTGTGTGAGCGTGTCTCTATCCCTATTGACGAAAGACTGCCTGTTTTGTTCTGCAGAGACAGGTGCAGTACTCACGGTAGGGCTTGCTCCTCCCATAGCTCTGGGACTGTTGAATCTCGACGGTCCATCCTGCTCTTGCCGCCACTGGAGGTACTCTGGATCAAGCAGAGCTTCTGCATTAGCTCCACGCGGTGATTCCTCGAACCAACTAACTCTCATACTTTGACTCTCAGCGGCCGAGGACCTGAATGGCGACATACCGGGTTGCCACATACTACCTTCGCTCGGACGCGACGAAGACACTTCTCGCTGTCGTGCTGGACTTTCTACCGTAAACGCCTGCGGTATAGGTACGGCAGTCGATGATCCACCCACCTGGCTTTCGCTGGCCACGTAGTGACGGAAAATGCCTGCGTTCACAAACCAATTGTGTCTGTAGTCTCCAAGCATCACCCTTACTGCTCGTCCAGGAATACTCTCAAGCGATTGCCTGACGTCCCTTTCAGTTGCGATCGAGAGAAGTGAGAAGAACATTGTCTCTTGCATGAGCTCGCGATCAAAGCTGCCGATAACAGCACTCCTTGACCATTCGCTGCGCATAGCCCCAGTCTCGTCGGGTGTGAAATGCCAGTTGTCAGGCATGAGTTTGTTCAAGAGGGCGCCATATTCGATAAGCAACCTTGTCTGGTCTAGACCTGGCTCGGGACGGTTGTTTGAAGCCGGTTGGGGACCAAGATGGAGACGGAGCTGCTCCAATCGCTCCAGGTCGCGCACGAACGCAGAGCGATTCCTCCAGCGGTCCTCGAGAGCGACGCCGGAAATTCGTTCTGTTCCCAAGAATACCAGTCTGCGATAACGCGCCTCTATAGGTGTGTATTCGCCGGTTGCCGGGTCGGGCATCATACATGAAGGCACCGGTTTCAATTCGTGAATGGCTTCTAACGCACGTCGAAATCGAGGGTCGCTTGGCGATGTATCAGGAACATCAAGGTTATGGCGCCTAAGCTCGCTCAGGAGTAGGTTGTTGTGGTTGCGAAAAGCCACCACCGTATCTCCCAGCATCGACACGGTGTTACTTAGTTCGTCTAAGCTCGTGAATAGGCCCGCCAGATCTCCTTGTTCATCGACATCACTCGGGGGTGGCTGCGTCGTCACGATTAGCGAATGCGCGTGGATTACTTTTGTAAACAATGCTTACAGGTAGAGGGTGGCGACTCGGAAAGAGCGGCAGGCGGCAGTTCGGACAGCTGCTATGCTGTGTGTTCCATGAATTGAGCCAGGCCAGCAAGCAATGCTTGTGGAAAGTGTGGCCACAACGACGAATCTCGTCGACCTCCTGGCCCGACTGTAGCTCATCAAGACAGATTGCACACAGCGTCGGTATATCATCGCTGCTTGTCGTCGCGCGCAAGCCGATGCGGACGAACTCCTCTTGATTTGCTGCCATTGCGACTTCCGGCGGTGTTCAAAAGTCAGTCAAGAGCTGTCGCGAAAATGAAACTGGAGGCAAGAGTATTGTTGGGGAGCTCGGACTTGCTGCCTAATTTTCTACTTCTTCGATTCACTTTCACGTTATTCGTACGCGCGTTTGCACCTTGTGGTCACTCGGCTGTCTAGACAACCGCCCCGCAAGCACTTATCAGTATCGCTACTGGACGCTCGACAGAAGTTTAAACAACCATCACGATTACCCGCTATCTACAACCTCGCTACCCTTCAACATGCCCTGGGCCCCAGCTCTAACGGAGCAACAAAAGTGGGACACACCACAAGACAGCGTCGAGAGGGTCACAAGTGCGATACGGATGATCAGACCCTGTACCGGGCTTGTAGACGACCACAATCGAATCGCGCCGAACATGTTTCACCTCCTCGACTGCGGCCATGTTGTCGTTATCGATGGGTCGGATACGAGATGCGGTAGCAACTGCCGATACCCCATAAATGGGGCCAACCCACGGTTCTCAGAGACTGTCGCACAGTCCCCCACGGCGTATGTTATCGACGAAGCTTTTGAGTCCTGTCAATCGCTAATTCATCCTCTTCTAGTCCAAGGCTCATAAGTATCCGAGCCACTGACTTTTGGCCGCGTCAAGAACCCCTCTATTGCGAAGTCTGCCAAGGCATTCCAGTGGACCACTACCTCTTCCAGAAATACCATCGACGTTCTCTCGCCCTCACACGCGGAGAAATCGTAGCGGCTCTCCAGATCCCGAATGACCAAGTCGAGACCCTGTTGGCGGCACCGTTCCCCAATCCAGATCTCCAAGAGCACAATTTACATTGTGGCCACAAGGTCTACTGTGTTGCTCAGCAATCTTGTGGTCAGAACTGTGAGTCTGACAAGCCCTGCCTGAGGCATCCCTTGGCACTTCTTCTCAACAAGGATTCCGGCGTTATATTTTGTCAGGAGTGCGTCTTGAGAGCTGAACGGCTTTATACGAGATATGAGGCGAAGGAGAAGGAGTTGAAGTTAAGACGCGAAGGTTACCCCGAGCCGGGGGCTGAGTTCGGTTTCTAGGTTTGTTGTTGGTTCCATTCTTGGTTCATCTTTTGGGCCTTTGCACATGATAGGCTTTATTGAAACTCTCCATTCTTATGGACTGGCGCAGGCCACTTCCTCGTCTTCTCAATACCGTTTGTGATGAAAGCGCACGACCGATGATCTTGATGACGTATCTGGTGGAGCTTAGTATCTCACTCTCACCTCGAGAGCGCGCAAGCTCCTACGCCAATTCAGTATTCACTGTGCCAGTGGAGTTGCGCTGCTTGAATATTCTCAATACGGGCAGATGCCTGCTCATTCTATTGTTCTACAGTCTCGGTAGCCTAGCGTTGCCAGACGCAACGAGCGATAATCGCTCACCTTCACTACATTCAGCAGACTAGGCTACGAAGGCTCTCTTAGGTTCTCTTTTCTACGACGAGGAGTCTGTAGCACCAACGCAACTACTACCTCGTTCTCAACCGCAGACCAATCACAAACATATCGACTCATCGACCTCGTCGCAGATTTGCATCGACCGCAAAGTCTTCGTCGACAGCTCAATGGGTAAACAGAAGACAGTCACCACGGAGAAGCCGCCGGGACGTCCTCGCGGTGGCGCCAAAGGTGGTAGCCGTGGTGGCGGCCGACCGAAAGGCAGAGCCTCGAAGTCAGCGACATCAGCGCCATCGGCGCCAGAAGCTGTATCCGATAGACCGGGACCCAAGCTACTGTTGAAGCCGTCGGTGGGAAGATCGGATAGCCCAGCGCAGGGGCGCGACGCGACACCGGGATATAGCGAGAGAGACGACCAAGACGACGACTTTCCTCAGCAATTCGTAGAGGCGGCGCCGATCACGACTCGCACTGGACGAGCGATTCAAAAGCCAACCCAGTACGACGCCGCTCAGGTTAGCGAGATCGATGCCTTCATTGATCAGGCTGAGGAGGATGCTAGAGACGGTGGCAGAGGATCCATCGCGAGTGATCCATGTGAGTGCCTTCTCTCTTGTTTTATGATCCCAGATTGCTGACCTTTCTTCAGCGTACGTCACACACAAGGCCCAGGAGCAGATGAAGCAGCCACCAAAGACACCAAAGCCAAGAGGTCGTCCACCCAAGAAACACACGCCGTTTAGCGCCGCCGCTGGGAAATCAGTCGAACAATACGGGATGTTCGCGTCCCCTGCAGTGCCTCCCCCGTTCATAGCAGACAAAGAAATCTACTTCATCCTGAGCAACCTCAAGAGCAACGCCAAAATTCACCTCGACCTTCCCGGCCTCACCGACGCCGCCAACCCATACCAGGCCCTACCCTACAGCGCCAACACCCTCACCCAACTATACATCGTCTGCTACCAAGAGAAGTTCTGGGACCTCTGCGACATGGTAGCCGACACATGGATCCGCAAGTTCCACGACCAGCGCAAAAAAGCTCAAGAAGATAAGAAAAAGGACGATAAAGCAGAGGAGGAGAAAACAGAGGAAATCTGGCTCCCGAACCGAGCGCTCAACCGCCGCAAGCGAGTCGCACAACAGGCGTGGCGGAAGGGCAAGAATATCCCGGCGGAGTTTGATCAGTTTCCTAGAGACTACGACTTGGAGGTCACGGATCCTGAACTTGACAAAGATGTTACGTCGGTCCATACTGATCTCCTCAACTTGCTTTACACACACACATCACCGAGGTGTGGAGCGAGACTCCTCTGGGCCGACGCACTCGCACTGGGCGGCGACAAGACCGAGCACATCATTGGGAAAGTCACGCGCAAGGGCTTCCATCTACACCCCGAGCTCCTCTTCGACATCATGCAAACAAGCCTCCGTATGGTCCGACGAAACCTCACGCTGAAGATCGAAGAGAGCACCGAGGGCGCATGGTGCCAGCGATACCACGAACACGGAAAGAACGGCAACGTTTGCTACCGACAGCGCGCATCGAGGGTTGACGAGGGCCTGGAGATGGCAATAGAGCAGTCTAGGAACAGGGAAGAGGTTGATGGGGAGGGCGTAGCTGATGATGTGGATTTGCTAGAGGAGTTGGAGTTGGCACTGTGGGCGCAGGAGCAGGAAGAGACTCCCAGGGCTGAGAAGAGAGGGCGCGAGGATGGTGGTGAGGTTAGCCCGAGTAAGCGGGCTAGGTTTTTGGGGGAGGAAGAGGATGCTGAGGGGGATTCTGAGGAGGATTGAGAGGAATATTGAGCGAGGCACGGGTCAGAAGGTCCGCGGTTGCCTTTTCCGGGAATCCGGCTACGATGTCGACATAATGGCACGACATCGGTATGCCAAACATTCTGCGGTCAATTCGATAACTAGGCAGCTGAGTTACAGGAACAGACAATCATAGTTACTTACGTTCTGATCTGAAGGCGCGACGTGCTGATCATTGCGCACTGTTGCGCAGCCGTCGTGTTATCGCACCTGCCTTAGATTGTCCTTCACTCCATCGCGCCTACTCCCTGGTCGTCACTTCCCTCGGGGCCACGGCAAAATGCTAACACGTGCTTCATCGCCTAACTGCTAATTACCAACACCTCGCCATCTCATTTGCTGCCAACACACCGACATTCTCCCACCACCCCAGATCTAACGTTCAGTCACACTCTGCCCACAACTAGTTCCGGATAACCGTACTGGACCCCTCAGGCGTCCAGTCAAAGTGACATGTGAACCTCGTACCCCGGGTCCCATTTCTCCGCACGGCTTGAATCAGTTGTTGTGATTACAAGACGTATAAATGGGTCTTATCCCCAACATTGGCGCCTTGGTCCGTCTTGGTTGATACCCACAATGAGCTCGTAAGTGCGTGCTTTCCACCCCATATGCTTTCCAAGGCGGCTAATCAGTTCAGAGGCGTTTGTCAGCGTCCGTATCCACCCGATCATCCAACACCTCCGCCCGCGGACATACGCACACGATGTCTGGATTGATGTGTTGAACGAAAGCCAATGTCTGTTGAGGGCGACCTAGCCGGCAACGCGGATTGAACACAACACCACCTCAGTAGATGTCTCATGCACGGCAATCACCGACACTTGGATTCTTGTGGCTTCGACGGTAGCCGATTGTATACATGATGCATAAGAGGAAGGATTAGACCCACTGGCATCGCCGACCAGCCGATCAATCTCGCCCGCTGTGGACCAGAAGGATGCTCGCATGATTCTCAAATTTATCGCAGCGCTTGAGAGGAGAGGGCATGACTTCGATGATGCCTACGAAAACTACGATGTAGCAAAAAGGTTGCTCTGTTGACGTCTGGTACAAGCACTTGGGCGTCCTTTGGCACAATGGCTTGCGCTGTTCACAAGCACTTGGTGAAGGCATGGCGAGCTTGGTCTTCGCTAACCATCTCACGCGCACCTCGTGTGTGTGGAGACCCCAAGTCAAAGCGCCTGCGTTCGCACCGATAACACTCGGAGCTCCGACCGGGGGTGGTGGACGTATCACACCTCTAGACCTGTCTGTTTCTTCGCATCGCATGACAAGATGCACTGCGAATGCAAAGCTCTGTGGAGACGAGAAGAGCCCCGGCGGTCTGGGCTTTCGTCAAGACAAAAAAGCGCTTGGAGATGTTGTGCTTGCCGTTGTGGGTTCAACGATTCAGCTGCCACTACGGCAGAATACAACCTTCCTGCTGGACTTTGGGGTACAGAGCCAAGTACAGAGCCAAGAGTCGGATCATTGTCCTACGACCCATCAGAGGCTCCGACAACCAGGACGAGTGTCAGCGCCAGAGCGACCGAAGAAGCGACACATTTTCACACCTGCGCACCGTTAGCTCTACCAAAATATCCTGCAGGCGCGTATCTACGTCCGATAGTGTAGTCCACACGGCAGATGCATTGGAGGGACGGGATACCATTTGGGGTAGTCACAACGCGGGCGCTACTGGAAAAGGCTGAAGGAGTTGGAGCCGCATCGCTTGTGTCGACACACCGCCGCGAGACGAGGTCTCGTCCAGGAGCTTAACCTCAGAAGCCGACACCCTGCTCCGACGCTCCTCTCGGTCATAATTCTGCCGGCGAACGGTCTCGTCGCGAGGCAGCGTCAGAATAGCGTAGTAATTTATCCCGCGTGCGAGATTTTCCCGGGATGGTACCAGCCAATAGCGCGACATGCATTTACGGCACCTCCCCGGCCGCTACGAGGAGCTTGACAAGCTTCTCTTCCTCGACTGACAGCTAACGTGGGAGACCAAGAGAAATCCGGGACACGAGAGCGTTTGGGGGATAATGCGGGGTTCCCATCGTGTGGTGGCCAGGTTCTTGACTCGTCCTTAGCTCGGCCCCAAGCTCCACAAGACGCACGAACAAGGAAGCTTTCTCCACCTAAGCCTGCCAACCTTTCCGCCTCCTTACTGGGCATGTAACCTACGTGCAGATGGCGCTGCCGTGAGAGACACGAGAGGCGACCGGCGTGGCCGCTTGATCGGTAATTGATCAGACGATCAGCGGTCCGCTTACTGCGCGAGGGTTAGTTCCAACGCCTGCAATGGCCGACGAGACGGGTCGACCTATTGAACGTTGGGAAAACCACAGTTGGGAAGGTCATCCGGCATTCCTGGCTCGGAAGACCGACGCCGACCGCTACTGGCGATGGACAAACGTGGAGTAGAGGCTTCCGGGGTTGACTCTGGGGTCTCATGGATGGTGTGATTTAGCAGGCCTTGCATCTAGGATCTCCGCATCTCGTACCCCACCATCAGTTCAAGTATAAGAGGCACATGCACCTTTGTACAGTTGAGTCGTCACTGCCTTTCCTCCCTGTCCGACAGACGTAGGTTCCGCAGCTCAATCACGACCTTACTCCGATCTACCTACACCAGCATCGCCCATCATGGTCGTTTGGAACCCATGGAAGGAGAACTTGAAGCACACTCCCAAGGAGAGCCTTAACTGGCGTCTCTGGTACGGTGTCTTCGGTAGGTTATCTCACCTCCCTTGAGACAACACCCAACTAACTCGCCGTAGTTTTCGGTCTCATGGGCGCTGCTCGTGGTATCGACGAAGGCCTCATCGGTACTACGGCCGAACTCGACCCCTTCAAACGCAAGTTCGGACTCGAAGAAGACGGCAGCAAGAGCGAGCACGAGATCGCGGAGCTCCTATCGAACATCACATCCATGGTGCAGATGGGTTCCATCTTGGGTTCCCTCATCGCCTTCTTCATCACCGACAAGATTGGTCGTCTCTGGGCTACTCGCCAACTTTGCATTGTCTGGGTTATCGGTATCGTCATCTTCCTCACCAGCTCTATCACTGGTTCCGTTGGACAAATCTACGCCGGCCGCTTCATTGCTGGTATCGGCATCGGACAGACCACCGTCGTCGCACCCACCTACCTAGCTGAGACCGCACCCAGGGCCATCCGTGGTCTCTGTGTCTGCGCTTTCGCTGGATCAGTCTACATCGGTATCATGCTTGCCTACTTCGCATCATGGGGTTCCTCCATCCACATCTCGTCTGCCACTGATGCTCAATGGCTCGTACCCAACAGCATGCACATCATGTTCGCCGGTCTCATCTTCACCCTCTCTTGGTTCGCCAAGGAGAGTTCTCGTTGGTTGATCAAGGTCGGCCGCCACGAGGAGGCGCTCGACAACCTCGCACAGCTCCGCAACCTTCCCGCTGACCACCCTTACGTCACCTCGGAGATTATGGACATCAACGACCAGCTCAACCGCGAGCGCGAAGCCACTATGGGTACATCTTGGCTCGGACCCATCCGTGAGCTGTTCTCCAGCAAGGCCAACCTCTACCGTCTCCAGCTTTCAGTCCTGTCGCAGTTGCTATCGCAGTGGTCGGGCGCCAATTCCATCACAATGTAAGTCACACTCACATTCCATGCCTCGCGCACACAACTAACACGATCCCCAGCTACGCACCCAAGTACTTTGAGATGATGGGCACCAGCGGTCAACAAGAGAAGCTGTTTGCTACAGCCATCTTCGGTGTCGTCAAGTTTGTCAGTTCCATGATCTGCGCCTTCTTCCTGATCGACTTCCTCGGCCGCAAGCGCTCTCTCGCCACCGGTATCACACTCCAACTTCTATCCATGCTCTACATGGCCATCTTCCTACTCATCGACACCGGTGTCGCCGATGGCGTACCCCAGAGCTCAAGCCAAAAGCACGCTGCCATGGGTGCCATCGTCATGATCTACTTCTCCGGTTTCGGTTGGGCGCTCGGATGGAACTCGATCCAGTACCTCATCAACTCCGAGATCTACCCTCTCCGTCTCCGTGCGCTCGGTGGTTCCATCGCCATGACATTCCACTTTGTCAACCAGTACGGTAACTCCAAGGCTGTACCTCTCATGTTCATTTCCATGACCCACGGAGGCACTATGCTGTTCTTCTCCTGCGTCACCGCTGTCGGTCTCGTCTGGGTGTACTTCTTCCTGCCCGAGACTTCTGGAAAGTCGCTCGAATCTCTCGACGAGATGTTCAACCTTCCTTGGCACCTTATTGGTCGCAAGGGTGCCGAGCTTACAAAGGGTTCTGGTGGCATGGCTGAGATTATGGATGAGTCGGGTGAGAAGGCTGTTGAGTACCAGATGGAGAATGCTGGTGGTGCTGAGCAGCAGACTCACCGCGTGGAGCAGAAGGTCTAAGCCACCGCGGCAGTCGTACGAATACCCTGTATATAGCATCGCACACGTCAATAGTGTTGCTGGATGTATATGAACGAAGTCATGAACACAAAGTCATTTTCTCATGCATGTGCACGTCTAACAATCTCTTAATATACTAACAAGTTACAACTACCACATGTACAATCGCACTGCTTTCACCCCATTCCCGTCAAGCATGCAAACTTTTACAGTTGAACCAATGCCCATGTTCCTTAAACAAATGCTAACTTCGACTGAAAGATCATCAGCCTCTTGGGATAGCTAAGCCAATACCCACAGTAGGGAGCGACGAACCAACTCAAACCCGGCGCCAGGTGAGTCAAAGCCTAAAGCTCAACCGATGTAGAGGACTAGCTTTGGTACCCTAGAGCGATGATAGCAATATGAAAACGTCATTCCCCAACGCCTCGCTCAAACCATGATAACCTACCCCATAACAACGATAAAGAAAAATACCCGTGCAAAACTTTTGGGAAGAAAAGGAAAGGAAAGGAGCAACCAAACTGCTCACGCCATATCGTGAGCATGCAAACCACCAACACAACATCGCACCTAAACCCCACCAGCCATCGAAGCCCACTCTTCGCGCCTCCCCCGTCTCCTACCCTCCCCCTCATCCGTCTCCTCCGCAAGCCACAGCGCAACTTCCAGTTTCGAATCCGTCACCTGCTCCCTCGCCGCCTTCCTAAACACCCTCATCACCTCCCCCACAACCGTCACGTCATCCTCCATGAACGTAATCTGACGCAGAAACGCGTACAGCGACGTACTTCCCAACTTGATCTTCCGCTGGATCTTGGCGGTATCCAACCCAGTAGTAGTAGTTGTGGGGTGACCGGCCAGGGATGCGAAGGTCTCGCAGATATCTTCTTTTGTCGTTGTGCCGTCCCAGAGTTCGAAGTCGAGGGTGGTGACGAAGGTTTCTAGAGAGGTGGCGCCGAGGAGGGTGGTGCGTGCTTTTGAGGCTGCGCGGCGGATGGATGGGGTGGAGGGGGTTGAGGAGGGGCTGGAGGTTCTGAATGATTCTATGGTGTCGGACTCCGAGGATGAGTCGGGGATGATTACGGATTGCTCGACGGTGGTGGCTTTGGTGGTAGTGGGTTTGGAAAGAACGGTTTGCCAGAACCCGTGGATAGGAGGCGCAATGACGATGGACGGCTCCTCACGCGTGGCCTCATTTATATTAAGTTCTTCGACAACAGAGACAAGCTTCTTAATCATAGCAGGCTCCATGTTCATGACCGGTGCATCGACGGCATCAGGCTCAGCGATGGGAGGCTGGATAGGATCATAGGTCTTTTTAGCCTTCTTATCAATCTTCTGCTGTTCTTTGGGAACCGAAACTTCGATTGGCGCTACATGCATAGCCACAAGGTTGTTGTGAAGATCGCGGGTCCCTTTGTGTTCACCCGGACCGTTCGGCTTGCAAAGAAGAGAGGCGACAAAGTCAGGCTTCTTCTTCTCAACCGCTGTATGGATCTTTCGGTCGGCTTTGGTAGCCTTTTGGCTAGTCTTCTGTTGTTTTGACACAATAACCGGCAGCGAGAGAGGAGCGACATGAAGCGCAACCAGCTTCTCATGGAAGTCGCGCGTCATTTTGGTCTCGCCTAGACCATTAGACTTGGAGAGGAGAGAGGCGACAAAGTCCTGCTTTTTTTCTTCAACAGTGACAGTCTTCTTCTGGTCAGCTTTGGTAGCTTTTGACTTGGCCGTTGGGGTCTTCTGTTGCTTGTGGAAAGTGACTGGCAGCGAAGGTGGAGCGACATGAAGCGCGACGAGCTTCTCGTGAAGGTCGCGAGACTCTGTGGTCACACCAGAGCCATTGGGCCTGGCAAGCAGTAAAGCGACGTGATCAAACTCATCTGGAATGACACTGGGCTCCGTGCGATCCATCGTAGTCTCAGCAAAGTCGGTTTCGGGAAGCTTTTGAACCACATCGGACTTCGTCGTGGCCACCTTCTTAGATGCCTCAGAAGTCTTAGCTGCCTTCTTCTCAGCCTTACTAAGCTTCTGCTGCTTAGCTTCAGCGACCGGCAGTACGATGGGCGCGACGTGCAAAGCGACCAACTTAGCCTCTTCGTCGCGGGATAGGCGCGAAGGGTATAGAGTCGAGTTTGGCATCGACAGGATCGCCGAAGGGCTACAAGTCGACTTTTCAGCGCCAGTCACCTTGGTTGGCTCGGACGACGTGTCAACCGCCTCAGCCAAAGTTTCAGTCATCGAAGGCTCCTCATCCGCATCATCTATCGGAGTAGTGACATAGATGTGGGGTAGTGCAGTGGAAGCTTCGGCGAAATCGTCGTCGTCTCCAGCGACAGTGACCTGCTCAGGAGAGGCACGCTCTTGGACTAGTTGAGGAGCGTCTTCGTCTGACTCAGTATCGGGTTCCGTGGCCGTATTTGACTCAACATCGGTATCAGACTGGGCAGTCTCGGGCGCATCAGCGGGCTGGAAGATAGGTTCAGTGTCGCTGTCTGCCATGCGCTGCTGGATACCGTCGTCGTGGCTGTGGACGGCACAAGAATGATGCGCAGAATGGTTGGTATGAGTGATGCGCTCAACGACGCCATCGACAACGCGCTGCTCGACGATGTCGCTATAGCTGTAGCTTGGGCGAACAACTCGCAGAGGGGCAATACGTTTCTCTTCAGCGCTAGCTTTGGTTTTCTCCATAGTCGCTTCGATTGCGTGAGTCCGGTTGGCAGGAGGAGGAAGCGGTTTTCGGTTCTTCTTCGCCGGTCGTCGTGAGGGTCTGTTGGGCTGGGCCTTGAGTATTGCATTTTTGCCCTTGGACATCAACTCTTGCGCCGCCTTTTGCTTAGCAGCTTCGAGCTTCCTCTTCTGGATAGCAACATTTTCAATGCGCTTGGCCTCTTTCTCCGCAGCTATCTTCTTGAAAGCTTCCTGTTTGGCGAGATCGAAAGGAGTGTTGGTATTGGTGCTGTCAGCGGCGACGGCATCAGATGCATCGGTGATGGTGTTGGTAGCAGACATCTTGTTAACTGCGTACGTGGCTGGCTGGAAGCTTTCGGTTGTGTTATTATGTGGCTGGATGAGGTTGAATTTGGGAAGGCTTGTGAACAAAGGTGTGTGAAGCTGTGACCAGGTAGTTCAAGAATGTGGATTGAGTGTGAAACAAACCAGTTGCTCTGTATGGGCGGGAATAAGAGTATTGCTCAGATCTGCTCGTATGAAAGTGGAGTAGAGAGCTGGTGTAGTGAGAGTTGCTCACCAAAAGGGGGTGTTTATATGGTACAGCGTGCAAGACTCCGCTAAAAGCTCAGACCAAGCGTGAATGTAGCTCGTGCTTGAGGTACCTGACAGAAAGTTAGACCGTGACCCGACTATGCGTTAGTGAAACAACGGGTGAGGAGTCTTGTCTTTCACTGACAATGCGATGACCGTACCTGCAAGATGGTGGACTCGTCCGCGCTCGCCAGGTACTTTTGGACAAGGCGGTGTCCCCAATTACATCCTGCCTCTCTGCGCTAGGAGTTGTATAGAGACAATCCAACTTTGGGTTAGACTGTCATGACTGGGTCTCATCGAAGCCGCATTATCTAGCGCGTGGTTGCGTCTGGCATGGTCAACACCGTGTTTGATACCGCCAGCCGTGATTCACCTGTGGTGTATCTGAGATTCGTATCGGCCCAGGACCAGAGCGGACCCGCGGTGCTACTGATTCATCAAGCGCCGGGGAGAAAGGAGAACCGCATAATATCGAAGGTATGCCATGGAGTGTTCGGACAATTTGAACTGCGTGCTGGGTGTGCGACCAGAGGTTCCTCCACATGAGAAGACTAGATGTAGCTGGCGCGACCCACGAATTCTCAAAAACGCTTCTTCGCGTCCGACTGTGACAGCAGTAATGTTCGATTGGATTTGTGTAGGTTGATGCGCCGACGAGGTGATGACATAAGGAGGCAATTGCGTCAAGAAGCTGCCCAGATGTGGTGGCATTCGTCAGCACGGCGCAGCAAAATGTGGCATGCCGGGTCGCGTCGCGTTTGCTGCAAAAATACTCTCAGTTCCGATAACATCTTGAGACAGTACTGTTAACGTTGAAAAAGATATAAGGCGGCCGTCACTTCGCGACGACTGGCATGGTGGAGAGTTGTGGTGGTTGAGGTTTGGAAGTGGCAGACCACAACCGACTCCCATCCCGATTGCACCTGGCCCGATCCTGTGATGCAGACAGTAGTAAAAGCAAAAACAAAAAGTAAGCTCTCCAGCGGGGAATTGAACCCCGGTCTCCCGCGAGTTGCCTAATAGGTGACAAGCGGAAATACTGACCACTATACTACTGAAGATTGATCAACCAGAAGGTTGAGTAGCTGGATCGATGGGAAGAAGCAAAACATCATAGATAATAGACGTACACAACTAAGCATTGCCTGTAGCGCTGTGCTTGGCTTTTGCAGAAGCAATCGATTCAAAAAGAGGACGTGGTTCCCGCTTGAAGGTGGGGCATGAACCGGACCGGTGGCACCTGCATTCCCAGCCCCAAATTCTCGGCACTCACAAACCGTGACAAACACCCACAAACATCACAACAGCGACAAGATTGATAACCGCTGCCTGCTCCAACTATCACGTCTCATTCATATCAAGTGGTTCCTCGGCCTATCCGACATCAACGCAAGTGTCGTCTTGCCCCTGAACCCGAAGCGCCGACGGGTCTCTTGGTGGAGACCCCGAAAGAAATGATCCCGAATCTTCAGGCAGTGAGATCGCGGAAGGAACTCCAATTGATGAGTGTGTGAGGTAAGATGCGGTGTGGTTCTACCGATGACACGCGTGCCCATGTGAGGCACTGGAACCTGCCCCTGCAGCTCGAACCAGGTGCGCGGATCAGCATCGCGAATGATACCGCATCTTGCCACATACGCATACGTGTATTGTGTAGAACGGGGATCGAGATAACGCTCCATCGTTGTATGAATTCAATTCGAGTCACGAAAGATGCAGTGTATTCTCATTGTAAAATGAATATGCAGATCTACCAAATCTGCCTAGGTGGGGAGGGGAGCGCGCACAAGATGTTTGCCAGAAAAGGCAGTGTTGACGCCCATTCGCGCATGTCCGTCACCATCATCCGGGTATCGTGGAGGCTGAACCGTCGGCTCATGCCGTATCCTATCGGCGTGGAACAGCATTCTCGTGGCGTATGATGTTGTACCATGCCACGATGTAGCGCTGGGTTACTACGTGCACGAGGCTATGCACTGGGCTGTAGGCCTAAAGTTGCTATACGCGACGAGTGTGAATCTCTCAAATCTGCGAGAGAGCGTCCTGTAATGTAACAGAGTCCAGACGCGATGCGCTTCTGCTCAAGATCAATAGTCTGACGCTGTGCCGCTCGACTTGTTCTATTGTAGGCGGAACCGCGTAGACACCAACCCAGGCAGACTGCCCGTGCCATGACCCCGACTCATACCGCCAACAACTCGCAACACCATGACAAAAGGTCAAAGATGAGGTCGCAACATTTCCCATTGCGATAGGAGCGACGACGTCAGGTCTGACCGGCAACAGTGTCTACCGGAGAGCACAGAGTGGCTAGCGCTGCAACAGAAGGGAAAGTGAAGGATGGAAGCAGGCAAATCAGAGAAGAAGCGGTGGCTCATAGAGTAAGCTGCACTACCCAAGGTGCGGCGCGGGTCAGCGAGATTGAGCAGACATGGGCAGAGGGCTTGGCTGGGAATTGGAGGTGACGTGTTCTGGAATCTGGGGTCGCCCTGGGCAGGCGGGAGAGACAAAGAGAAGCGGAGTCGCGGGCTGGATGCCTTGAATCATGGTGTTGTTGGAGCGTCGGATGAAGTCGCGATGGTCGCGACGAGAGGCCCAGCCGCTGATCAACAAGCAAGTCTCTATTGCGATGTCAAATGCACTGCATTGAAGATGCTCACTGCCATCTTGATCTACGGGGGGCATGTCGGCAGGGGTGCAGCAATGCTCAGCAGGACGTCGAGTGGCTGAGCGGGCATGCAGGCGTCCTCCGCCTCAGCGAAGTACGAGCACGTTGGCGCCCTCTTTTCCCACCGTCCGTTCAGCCCACGTCTTCGCTCGCTACTGCTCTGCTCCTGTTGCTATTCAATAAGAACGAACGGCATCTTGTTTTGGCCGCTCGTTGTTGTTTTTCCCACCAGCTGGAACCATTGCGCCGTGCACCTGCCGCTTCGCCCCGGCTATCCACCTGCACTTGACGGACCGAAGCGATCTGCACCGCGTCAGGCTGAATAGCAGACAGCCAGGCGCCAGTGAGGCTCATATCGCATTCTGGAATTCGACCATAACTAGACTCGACGTTTGCCACAGTCACTCGTTTATCCATCGTTCGCGCTCTCCTGCTCTGCATGCCGACGTCTTCTTGCTTGCTCGCTCCCACTGCGCGAGAGTCATAGCAGAGACGCCAGGCACTACCCGAGACGCGAGCCAGGCACCCCGCCGCGCAAGGCGCGAACCACCGACTCAATGCGCTCTAGCAACAAGAGCTATCACAACATCAGCGAGTCGGGCCATGAGAAGAGAGAGGGCACGCCGTGGTACTGGCGCCTTATAGCCCTGGCTGCGTCATGGATGATACTCGGAGGGTGAGTGCTTGCCATGCGTCTCGAGGCGGCTCAGACGAAAGCATGCTAACGCCTCGAAGCTACCTCATACTGCCCGGCCTCTACAGAGAAACATACGAGCTCAAGTTCAGCCGAGCAGTCCTATCCGTCTTTGTTGTCGCGCTCCTTACAGCCGGCTACTCATTCACAGCACTGCTCTGCTTCGCCTGTCGCAATGAGCGCTTCCAAGCCGACGGCGTCTTCCTGTAAGGCCTCCATGCCTCCACCAACAGCGGAATACTAACCTTATGTGTAGACCTGCGCTCACATCTTCTGCACTCGGCCTTATCTCGATAGCCTACAACTTCGTCTCGTCGCCCAACTATCACTGGGGAAATGCCGCCATAAGCGGCACCGTGATCAGCGCCGCCGGAACAATCCTCTACAGTTCCCTCCTCCTCTGGACATACCGCCGCATAGTCAAGTCCAAGCGCCAAACCGACACACGTCAGAACCTCTGGTCCGACCAAAATTACTACAACAACTTCATCCCAAACATGTACCCCACCGCCATGCGCTCGCCCTCCCAGCCACCCGCCGCCCTATACTCCGAAGACGACCGCGTGAACCAGCAAATGGCTCTCCTCCTCAAATCAGGAGACCCGCGACCGAGTCCTGATATAAACACCACATTCAGAATAGACCTGCCAGAAGACAGGGAGCAACAGGCAAGGCACCAGCACAGCCAGGAGTTGGTGGGCACGCCTGCACAAACACACGGCGACTGGGGCCGCGACCGGTCAGACAGCAGACCCGATAGTCTTAGCGAACAATGGACACAATATGGCCGCGGACGAAGCGAGAACCGCCCGTCTAGTACAGAGGGACGAGGCAGTCATTCGCGCAACCTCAGCCGGGAAGAGCGGAGGCGCGAGATCGAACTTGGTCAAATACGCGTATGACCATCTCTTTCCCACCAGCTTCGTTCTCGTCTCTATCGTCCTTTCACGCAAGACTACGCATTCTCTACGCACACGGATAAGCGTCGGTGTTCCGGGCCTCGGCGCTTTTGGAGTTTCTCTCGCGGTTGGTTGATACCTTTGTGTATTTCTATCATTATAACTGGGACTATCTGGGAGGAGGGACGATGTACATGTTGCATGATTGCTTTGGGGCATATTATGGCGGAGTAGATTCTTTGTGTTTTTGTGTTGTTCTTACTATCTAGTGGAATCGATATTACTACGACGTACGCCTTTGGTCGCTGTCACGTCTGCTCCCATTGACGTCAACAATACTACCAGCGTCTTTATCGCTACACTTGGAACCATCGCACCACCCGCCTCCACTCGCCTCCCTCGGCTGCATGGCTCCCTATCTTCACGGCCCCATACCTCCTCCTCAACGTTAAGCCAAGGTCCACCACCTCGGGCCTCGTCCACACACACAAAGAAAAAACCTAATCATCTTGAAACACCCAATCTTCCTTTCCCGTACCCCAGAAGTCGGCTAGTCGCCCCTATCGCAACGACCGCAACTGCAACCAACTCGCAGCCTTACCAACAGCCCCCCGTCCCATCATCACATAATCACATTCCCGGGGCCGCCGCTTCTGTAACCCTCAGGAGATGGATAATCGGGAAACGGGCATGTTCGCGGGGGCGGCCGACGCGGTGACCTTCGGGGTATCTGTCACATTAATTCGCCTTTGTTACTAGGTATATCATGTTTCTTATCGTGCAACCATTCGTTGCGCGGCTTTCTCCGCGATACGGCGTTGTATTGATTTGATGATGGGGAGACTCACCGCAACGACCTTTTTGTCATTTGCTGCTGGGCGGATGGATATTGTGGCGGCCTTCTAGATGCAAGATGGAGGTAGGTAAGCGTAAGCACGTATCCGCGATGCAGGGTGGGCGGGTCAGCTGACGTTCAAGCGAGCGCGTGGGTAGATTGGCTGGTAAGGCAAGCGTGAACGTCTGGTGAAGTCTGTGGCGGTGTAGTTGCTAAAGGAGTGAACAAATGGTGCATGATACCGCAACGTAATGGATTTCATAAAAGTTCCAGTCAAATGTTTGTGTCTTGCTAATGAAACTCGTTATCGCTATTTTGACCTATTGTATGCTTCTAGGTCTATCATCTACCATATGTTTTGGTAATGATTCGAAGCCTTGAAATACTCGTTCTGTCCGTCCTTCCTTACAATCCCCTATAGCTTGATAGCAAACTGCTTCAGGTACTCGTAATGCTCAACATTAGCGGCAACGGTATCCCGGATCTGCTTCGCGCCCTCTTCGCCGTACTTCTCCTTCCACTCAGCGAAGAGCTGTCCGTCACTCTTTGGCTCCTTCTTCTACTCGTTGTTAGCAAATGTCTTCTTTCCAACTGATCCTGTTATGATATAGCTTGTCAAAACTTACGTGTGTGCGTTCCCTCAGACGATCACTGTCCAGAGCATCTTCATGGAAACCCTTCCACTTCTCGAACGCCTCCTTGGCCTTGTCTTGGTCTTTCTCCGTGTCCCATACGAGCATGTTTGGATCCCACTCAATTCCAGTGGTCTTGCAGAATGCCTCAATCATGCCGGATGGGTTGTCGAGCAGATCATCTGCATCGATGACGCAGATCTCGACGCCGCCGGTGTGGCCATTTGCCTGATCGTTGGCATCAGCCTCCTTTTGACCAGCGAACTTGGGACCGATTTGTCCCTCAGAGCGCAGATAGTCGAATAGGCGGCGGAGCTCGTCGTAGCCGGCTTCATCCTCACGGAAGTTGTAGAAGCCCGTCATTTTGTCTAGCGGAGGAATGGTGCAGCGGTAGTAAGACGGAATGGAGAATTTCGGGTGGCGGATGAGGAAGGTGAAGTGGTAGGTTGCCAACAAGTCCTTGGGAATAACGGTCGGGTTGTTGGGCTCGCCCTTGGTATCGTATGGGTAGGGAGGCTTAGAAGGGTCGCTGCGAGTGGTGACGGGCGAGAGTTCGGTGGTGTTTGTTCCTACGCCACGGCGGTAGTTGGACAGAGATGGTGCGATGGTCGCGGGCTTGCCGACGGGGGGAATCCAGTATTGGGCCATGTCTTTGATGAAAGCGCGCTTGCCCTGTAAGAGGTGAGTATGGGCTTCTTCTACGAGGCTGCATCTCGCGCCTCAGAGATCTTCGTCGAATGGGCTGTCGTGAGGCTGAAGTCAAGGCAATAAGAGTTGATGGAAGCGGAATGCTTCGGCGGTATTTCGGGCATGTGAAAGACCACATTCCTGAGGTTTCCCAGCCGAGGGGTCGTGTTGGGCTCATTGAAATTGGTGCGCTCGCTTTAGACGGCCGAGAGATTGTGCAAGATGGGCTTGAAAGAACGTGTGGGATGATTGCAGTAGGGGCGGGGTTGATTGGGATCTGACTGGCGGGCGGATGGCTGAGGCACACAACACGCAATAGCGGCCAAGATGACGAGATTGCGAATATAAGATATCCATTGGATGCGCAAGAACGAAAAGTTGAGGGGAAATGGTACGAAGCTGAGGAGAAACATGAAAAGCATTAGTGAACGAACCTCGGAGTTCTCTCTCGCAATGCGATCAAAGATGGTCCTGTATGTGCTGTCCTCGTAACCAGACTCTTTCCTGGCCTTGGGGTCATTCTCATAACGCTCAGCAAGGCGCTCAGGTCCAAAGTAGTAGGCATCGCCGAAAGGCTCGTGAACACATTGCAGTGTGTCGTGACGCGTCATGAACACCTAGAGGAATGTCAGAACCCAGAATTGGGCGAGATACGGCGAAGCCAAGCATACCCGCTCAAAGGCCGTCGAGCAGGCCCTCGGATGAGTAGCCACAAAGATAGGCTTGCTCGTCATCGTCGCGGCTTCTCGACTCTGGTAGGATCTGTATTCCAAGTATCCTAGGGAGGCGACTGAGAAATACAGTCGGTGGGATTGGTGAAGAACAAGTCCAGATATATTCCAAGCTGAACAGCGACGCACCTACCGCGAAAAGTAAGAGGGGCACTAGCAGATTCTTATACCTGAGCCCCAGACAGAAACTGCCGCCGATCAACGATTGCTAGATGGAGCCCACAATTGCTGTTCGTTGAGCAGCAATCCCTACCGGCAACACGGATTAACAGGTACTAGCGGACCCAACCATGCAGTGTTGGCAGCTTCGATCAAAGGGTCCGGATGGACGCCTCACATGGGCGGCAGTCACAACCGCGAACGTGGCGTGAGGGCGATGCAGGTAATGCGGTTGCCCTGTCCCGATGCCAGGGTGGAATTGGCCAAAAGGGTTCGTATGGTGTTTTCTAGCAGCATGCATGATGTCACTGGCGGGATTGGTGGACGGAAGGTGTCGTGGTGGGGAGTGCCGTGCCCCTCACTAGCATGGCTAAGCCCGAGGTGCCGACGGTTCCTCGCCAAACTCCCTCCCTTTTCAGTCCTGTTTGCGCCTCGCGCGCCATATCGTTGGATGCTATTGTTGCGCATCTTTAGGCCTATCTTTCTGATGTCTCTGAGCCACAGCTACTCATGCAGCTAAAAGCACGACATATAGTGGCTGCATTTCGCAATCTAGTACGCCTGCGTTAAACAAAACCCGCACGACACCAGGGCTTGTGACGTTGTGCCGTTTTGTACGTGGTAATCTATTGGAAAGCTGCTGCTATAACCACCAGGCGTCGTTGTACATGTTCGAGAGAGGAAGGAACGATGAAGCTTCAAAACTTTTTTTCGCGGTCCCACACCTCGGTTCGCTGTACCTACCTTACTAGTATCAGGTTATGAGACCTTTCCTACGGTGCTCATGGTTCACGATCGCAGACTACAAGAGCAAGGAATCTGAGAAGAAGAGAAAAAGGCAATCTGGCACATAGTCACATCGATACACAATAAGAGGAACACATCCGCAACCGAACCTTCCCAAAGCCTCCCATCTACGGACCAACAGCCAACCGCATCTTCAGCAAATCCTTCTCCAAAATCTCCTCCTTCTTCCCGCTAAACTCCTCCATATCCCAACACGCACTAACATACCTCCCACCGAGCCACTCCCTCCTCTGCGCCCCCAACCACATCAACGTATCGCCCGCCAACTCCGGCGTATCAACAAGCCACTCGTGCATATGTCCCGGCATACCCAGCGCCAACTCCGTCTGTATGCCTCCTGGATGCACAGCCATAGCCAGCATACCATCCTTACCCTCTCCGTGGTCCTGGTCAATAAACTCGGTCAACCGAAGTGAAGCCAATTTGGCGGGCCCGTACGAAGAGCTCTGCGGGACGACCATGACAGCGCCGATGGATGTGATATTGATGATGATCTTGGAGCCGGCGAGGAGGTGCGGCCAGAATGCGCGGGTTACGAGGTAGCTTCCTTTTACGCTGACTTCGTAGTCGCGCCACCATTCATCCGGGTCGGTGTCTGGGATGCCAGCAAAAGAGGCGAGACTTCCCGCGTTGTTGATCAAGACGTCGAGTTTTCCATCGAACTTCTCGGTGACGAGCTTAGCAGCAGCGTCTACGCTGTCTTTGCTGGTGACATCCAGATCTAGGGCTAGGACTTGTGGCTCTGAACGACCTGCGGATTTGGCTGCGGCTTGGACGTCTTTGACCACGGTGGAGAGGTTGGATCTCGCACCGAGTATTATGCCCGAGGCACCTGCTTTTGCGTAACTTGGGGCTGTGGCACGGCCGACGCCTTTTGAGGCACCGGTGATCAAGACGTGCTTTCCTTGGAGATTGAAGTTGGACGGGGAGATGTATGGGTAAGTGTCGTGACGGTCTGTGGCGACAAAATTCAGGCCTAGTAGATGTGTGTTAGATACGCACTGGCGATGAGGAAAGGCTCAAGTGAAGGTTTAGTACCATTGGAGGCGCGGCTTTCACCGAAATCTTTGGACATGATGGTTTTGCTAAATTCAAGGGTGATAGCAAAGTAGTAAATGTCGAAATGCTCACTCAATGCTCGAGAAGGAGAACTTGTAATGGCAGTGTATATAGTATTGCAGAACTAGATGTTGTATGACGTAACCTGGATCCACACTTGGTATGGCACAGAATGCACACTAGTATCACGGCATTATGCAAGGAGTTACCGGAGATAGTTGTACGGCAGTTGTCATGGACAGAAAGGCGTTGTGTGAACGTGGAATGAAATTCGTAAATTAATTAAGTACATATCCCATGCGTTTACTTGCTCAACGCTAATATCCTTTCAACAGCCCTTTCCGCCGCAATCATGACACCCATAACAGGATTCGTGGTCAGAGGCGGCACGATACTGGCATCAATGACGAACAAGTTCTGCATCCCGATAACTTTTGTATCCGTGTCAATGCAGGCCTCCATCCTGCAACTGCTGCTCCAATGTTGCACATTGCCAAGTGTGAACGCGCTTGGCGTGGTCAGATAAGTCGCAATCTGCTCAATAGTCGAGTTCTTTGCAACGTTCAGCGGGTTGAGAGTAGCCGGCAGAGCCTGGAAGATGTTGTAGACGAAGGTCGCAATAGCAGTCGCATCGCGGGGGTCGGCGTAGAAGTTTGATGCGGGAAGAGCGATACCTCTGGCATCAAGGTTTACGCGACCAACGGATCGGAGACCAGAAGTGCCGTAGACGTTGAGTGTGATAGTTCCGTTCTTTGTAAGACCCATCGCTCCGGCAGAGTCAATGGTGCCCTGGCAACCCACTACATCATCGCCTTGCTGGATGTAGTCCCAGAACGCGCTCGTTTGGGAAGCGAATGTGTAAGGTCCAGACCGTTCGTTGAGGTACAGATCGACGTCGGATTGCGGCGGGTTGGAGTAGTCGTAAGCATACGAGGCAATCTCGTCAGATTGGAGCTCGATGAAGGTGTTTGGGTTATCGAAGACACCGTTGCCGACAGCGGTGTTGTTGATCCAGTCTTGAGAAGGAACTGTAACATGACCGTTCTTCGAGAGGTTTGTCAAGGTCGCTGCCTCACCGATACCAGACCACATCAACAGCTGAGGGCTGAGGAGAGCACCGGCTGAAGAGATAACCATGCCGCCTTCTTTGATGCAAATGCTTGACGAGTTCTCGGCACCGTTGGTCTGAACGTCGACGCCAGTTGCTACGCCGCCATCGCGACGCACACGCAAGACTTTATTGCCAGTTTGGAAGGCAAAGTTGGAGCGAGCCAGGGCCGACTGCAGGTATGTCTTGACCGGACCACTCCTTTGCCCGTTCTCGTAGTACCAGATCGGGTGGCCGAACACCTTGGTCTTGTTGTGATTCTCGATGCCATCGTTCAGGCCGACCTCTGCGAAACCCGCGCCATCAACGAGCCATTGCTTCGCAGCATCGTAGCCGCTCTGCAGATACCTCTTTCCGTCTCTTGAGGGACTGTCTGTGTTTGGTTGTTTCGCTCGGACCTTGTTGATTGCGCATTGCATGTCGTCATTCTTCCAGCCCTGGGGGAAGTAGCGATCCCAATCGCTGGCGGGTGGCTGGAAGAACAGTCCAGCGTTGATTGCGGAGTTACCACCGACGGTGCATCCTTGAAACGCGTTGACGACATCAGACGCGCATGTCAAGTTTCCTTCACCGGAATTCGAGAAGATGGATTTGTACAGCCCTGGAACATCAACGCGGCTGAGTTCAGTTCCGTTTAGCCATTCCGGGCGAGCACGACCGCCGGTCACGTAGTACGATGGGCCGCCCTGCTCTAGCAGTAGAGTCTTCTTGCCGGCTTCGCTCATGCGGTCCGCTGTAACGATACCCGCTGGACCAGAACCTGGAGGACGTCAATTTTGGTGCCAGATTTTGGATGCATGTTTGAGCTTACCAACGACAATGACATCCCATTCACCACCAGCGCATTGCTCTGCCGCAGCATAGCTCGCAAACGCAGCGACCGGCAACAGAACCTTCAACATATGAGCTGCTACCATGATGCCTTCTCTTTGATTCTGGAGGTGTTGGTCGTCCTATGTTGCGAGGCTATAGCTCCTGCCGTGACAAGGCCGAAGGCTGACTTTAAGCATTCCATCTCACCCTCAGCTCCTAGCAAGTACGCTTACCCTAGCCTCGAGCTCTAAAGCACGGTGATGTACAAGTACCACCATGCTAAGCAAATTTGCAGCGTGAAGCTGGAGCCGACATCACCGAACACGAAGAGGTATGACGCCGTTTACGGGGTGGAGCGTGCGCAGGCCTAAACCATCGCCCAGACGCGGGCGCTTTACCTGTTCGCACGAGCTATGAGGGCATAGATCGCGCGCCGGCGATGGCTGTGGAAGCTTTAGAATCATCGCCCCGACGGATTGGGTGCGTGGCGGTCGTTGCGTGGTTATTTTAGGACATGAGGGCGAGCTGAAGGTGTGGCGATTTCCGCATCGTGAGGGGTCCAGCCTGACAGGAAGGAGCCCGACTCTAGCGGAAGGTGCGGCTGAGTTCGTGACTTTGCGTCAGTCACCCAGAATTCTGTCTCCATTGTTTACTTCTTTTGATGCTTTCGACTATCTCGTGACTCGCATCTCAGATGACGGGATTACGAGAAAAGGCTTGGGAAGCTTGTTAAGCCATCGCGTGCGACGTGCCCGCTCGGACCGCTCGGAAGGATTCATTGTGGGCCTCTGCAACGGGTACACAACGACACCAGGAGAGCCTTGAACAAGTAGCCGGTGATACTACGCCCAATTGGCGAATTCGACGTGCATGATCATAGAAACCCGAGTTTTCGCTTTTCTGTGCAAGTTGTGATTTGCGAATCGACACCTGGGCAGCGATGTGATGTCGTTGGTTGTACTAAGGCCAACTTCATGGGGGCAACTTGCTTGAACGGAAGATCTTCGGTATTAGATGTTTTACCTGGGTTGTTGGACAATTAGTGCCATTGTACTGT